GATGTAATGTATGGGGATTAAGATAACAATAAAAAAATTAAAAAAAAAAAAAGAAAGTTACACACCATTTTAATAGCATCCCAACCGTTATACTATTTTGACGGTCATTCAGTCCACAAGAATGATCTTTCTTACAAAAAAAAAAAAATCGTCATTTGTTTCTGATGCCTACGGGATAGAGCACAATGTTCCTTAAAATCTTTCTTAACTTGACCTATCTACACTTACAATACATATTTTAAGATCTATTGTACAGGTTTTTATTACCCAGACACATACTGGCTTTAATGATGCTTTGCCTTACACATGCCTTTCGTTGGACATAATAGATATAAATTATAAATCTAAAAAAAAAAAAAAGATTTCACCTTGGTTAAAATTGAAATATTCTGTAGGTCATATTGGTATTTGAAGTCTTAAAAAGAAAGAATCTTGCTGATATAAGTACTTTGAATCCTTAATGTACTGAATTGGTAAGATAAAGAAGGCACTGTTAAAGTTGTGAGAAGCAAAAAAAAAGGGGCATATTTAATTCACATTTACAAAGGCTTGGTCTTTTTTATAGTTTGCCAAGAAAGATACAGAATCTTTATGATATTTGGAATATAATGTCCAGCATCAACTCATATGATGACTGCAAATACTTCCTAAAGGTAATCTCTAGAATACATTACATAATGGACCTATAAAGTAACTCTATTGTAAGGAATTTAAAAAATTGTGAATGAAACTCACCATATTCATTATGGACATCTCACAATTATATAAAATTTTCAAGTTCTTCTATGGGTCACAGAGTTCCAGAATTTCCAGGTACTTGATTATTCACTTCAGGTTTACTGATAATAAAATGTTCCTACCAGAGAATCACTACTAAAATATATAAATCCTGATTTAATTAATACATGGTATAACCTCTCTACCCAACTCCCATTTTCTTTTTCTTTTTTTTCCTTCCAACTCCCATTTTCTAACTATGCAAACTACAAACTCCTAGGAACCTAAATACTGTATTGTTCAGAACACTTGTAGCACCTCCACAACTATAAATCCTTTATGGAAAAAATAGAATAAATAAAATAAAAATAAAAAATAAAAAATAAAAATAAAACAAAATAAAGTAAAATACATATAGAATCATGTCTTTTAGATAGTTAAGGCCTAAATGTATATATATTTATGTATCTGTCACACTTCCTACATGTCAATGAACACGTAACTGTATGCATGTATAACACATACAAGCATCAGCTTTAACACACAATTTTTAATTTTCCTGGATTTGTGAAAATATCAAAAGATACTTTGTGAATATGCCAAAATATATTTAATTTGGATCTTCATTATAGTTCGTTATAATTTTTAAGTGTTTATATTCTTAAATAAGCATAGAATATTAGGTAAAAAGAAAAAAAAACTAAAATACTAAATTTATTCATGAGTCTCAACATCATAACCTTTTGTTTTTTTCCACTGTCCTTCCTGATATTACCTGTGAGCTATCATCTGATTAAATCACACACAAAAAAATCTTTACCTCAAAGTTAAGTGCATCAACTACTGGTTTCTGGTTTCAAATCGTTTTAGTAAACTGAACTATGGTGACCTTTAAAAAATATATTTAATATATTTAATATCATGTTAACCCATAGAGACTGTGCTCTGTATTTTTATTGTTAAATCCTGTTAAACCTTGAAGCATCATTCAAAACTAGAGATTTAATAAATGCTGGCTAGAAATGTATGAATGTTTTGGTTCTGTTTACTGCATTGTAAGCAGTAAATAGCCTTTATAATTGGGAAATATTGCTATTTCTAACCTTTTAAAACATGGAAATGGAAAGACAAAAATGTCAAAGTAAAATGAAGATTTTTATTAAATTTAGCAGGAGAAAAGGAAGAATGAATTTTTATTTAATGCTACCTAATAAGGAAATTACCTTCCAGGTTTGATTTTTATTTTTAGAGTATGTTTAGCTATAGTTAAATTCTAGCTAACTAGGATATTACTGGAGTTAATTATCCACCAATTATTTAAAATAATTAACAAGCTGGCAAAATATAAATGTATTTCCATAATCAAGGTAAATTGAAGTGATGAAGGAAAATAAAATACCTAGTACACTAACACATGGATTAGGAATAATAGGAATATTAGCAACTGTGCACACAAAGAAAAAAAGATTCTCAAGAGGATATATACCTATACCCCTTGGCATCAGGAGAACTGGGACTCAGGCTTTGCTCTTAACATGTCCCTTCCCCTTTTCTGACTTACTGCCTTTTCATCTGTATAGTGATATGGCAGATCTGCATGGTCCCTTCCTGTCCTAACATACTGTGTGTGGTATCATAGAAAGCTATTTGGTCTTTATCCCTGGTTCCTGGCACAGAACTCTGAAAACCCTTGGAATTTTTTGAGTGATTGGATGATAGCAGACTGTCCTAATGAGGAGGTCTCAGATAGGTGGGGTCCTTAGCTTGAGGATGGGGGCTGCTTTCAAGAAAGTTGAAGGTGTGATTAAAGAGTTGGAACTTTCAGCCCTATCCCCTGACTTCCAGAGAGAGGAAGGAGTTAGGGACTGGAATTTGCATTAATCACCAGTCACCAATGACTCAATCAATCATGCCTATGAAATAAAACCTCCTTTTAAAGAAACAGTAATAACAGAGTTCAGAGAGCTTCTGAGTGGTGAACACATCGAGATGCTGGGAGAGTGGCACTACCCCACTACCTATGTATTTTAGAATATACATGAAAAGGAAGGAGACATTGCATTTTAGGGGTTCTTTTCGTCTTTGAACCAGGTGTTTTATTGGAAGATTTCCATGAGGGAACTAATTTTAATCCCTTCAATAATACCAAGTTATGGTTTATTATATTTTATTATGTAGGGAATTAAACATGAGACCCAGAAAAATTGAGGAGATATAAAATCAAGAATAATGGAGTTGTGATTTGGACTTGGATATGCCTAATGACAGTGCAGTAAAAGACTATGTGTGGTAAGATAATGGAGTGTTCATCCCACCATTCTCTCTCTTGCCTCAGAAATTGTCCTAAGTTATAGAATATCAAAAAGCATTCCTTTATCTACAAACTCATTCACTCATAGTCATAAATGTCCTTACCTGCTATATATATCAATTGAAAAAGGGTTCTGATTTGATTAACCCAGGGTTAGAAACAAGGCCATTATCCACTTTAGATAAACAACAAAAACAGTATGGGCAGACCCTATACCATATTTCCAAGGAAAGTGTGTCAGTTTTAGCTTCAATGGAGAAGTCTAAATGTAGACTATAATATGTGTGTTGTATTAGCCAGATAGGATACCAACCTGAATGGATTTACACTCCTTCATAACATTCCTTTATCACTTAAGCATTTCAACAGAGAGGCATCTTAATTATGACCAAATTAAATTATACCATAGGGTAGTCAAATGGGTAGGGAGACCCCTGGCTCAAATATAATATTTATCAATTCTGGTACTAATGTCTAATGACTAGGGAAATCATCTATCTTGGAAAACAACTGGGAAATGCAAAAGAATTAATAATTCAAGATTTATCTTCATTTTTCTTATGCCAGAATCCCTTTCTCGGTTTCTTTCCATGTAACTCACTCTTACTTACCTGGTCCCTTGATATATATTTTCCTGACCTTAAGCTTTAAGGTCAGCATCTATGTTATTTGTTTTATGTATTTCAAGAGAACTATAGCCTACCTGTTTTTTTTTTTTTTTAATGCATTTTTTACAGAATTGCAAATTACTTTGTTTCTCGATTTTTCCCTTTCAAATGCTAGTTTTCCATACTTTTGCCTCTCCCCCCTTATTAGTCATTTTGAGCACAGTCAATAAGGCAGCTCTGGATTAAGAGAATCATGGCAATCCCTAAACAACTCTGGAGAGTTTTCTTCTTTGTTTCCCAGTAATCTATCAAATCTGGAGTCATCTTATAATGATGTGCCAACTCATCTTAATAGATGCATTAGTGTTGTAAATAAAAATGCCTAATTAAACTGTTTTTTTAACTCTTATAACCAATTAGTAACTAAATACTAAATATATACTTTTATATTTAGTACTAAATTTTTAAAAGTATAACGTATGTACAGAGGTCAATTACAAATGAATAAAGGCAAATAGTAAACACACTAAGAATATATTCACTGTTTATATTATCAAAGAAATGTGTATTAAAACAACCCTGAGTTAACAATATTAAAATAAAATATACTAGGGGCGCCTACATGGCACAGCTAGTTAAGCATCCAACTCTTGGTTTTGGCTCAGGTGATGATCTCAGGGTCCTGAGACGGAGTACCATGTCAGGCTCTGCTCAGTCAGGAGTCGGCTTGAGATTCTCTCTCCCTCTTCCTTTGCCCCTCCTCCCTCTGCTCTCTCCCTCTCTCTTCCTCTGCCCCTCCTGCTCGTGCTGTCTCTCTAAAATAAATAAATAAATCTTTTGAAAAAAATAATAAAAAATAAAACAAAATACTAGCAATATATTTATAATGCCTACTGCAAAATGTTGCAATAAAATTGAAGAGTAGATATAGTACTACTGATATTGTAAAGTTGTGTAAACTTTTCAAAAAACAACAAAGTACTATATGGCAATAGTCATAAAAACATTTCCCCATGCATTTTATTATATGCTTGTAACTCAACAGAACTCAAAATAGTTAATGCATAGAGATGTTTATCAATGTATTATCTATTGTCAAAAGGGAAGACAAATGACTGGAAGCAACTAGAGTACACAATATTAGTGAAATGGTATACTACTACAACTTATTACTATATATAGTCATTAAATGTATAAGTATTATGAAGACTAACAGGACTAAAGGTACCATTTTGGGAAAATCATGTTTAAAATGTTACAAAATATCCTTGCCGTGTCGCAGGTGCCTGCACTGCCAACTCCTCCTGGCCTCTCTTCACCCAGCCAAAGCCTGGGGGACCAGAGTGGGGACCACGTTCTGACACTGGCTGACGGCCTTCAATTACCTCAACTGCAAAAATGAAACAGAATTTAGAAACTGTATTGTTCGGCTTGAAGGCCAGAAAATCAGACACTACAAGATTGAAGACAGAGGTAATTTAAGAAACATCCACAGCAGGGACAGGCCCAAGTTCTTTGAAAAGTATCTCAGAGATGTGAACCATCTGTTCAAGATTCAAGATCGAGGAGAAGCAATTGACTGGCTTCTTGGTTTAGCGGTTAGACTTGAATATGGAAATAATGCTGAAAAATACATGGACGTGGTACCTGATAATATAAAAAATGCTGACAATGCAGCTAAAAATGCAGAGCCATTGATCAATTCCGATGTAAATAATCTCGATTTTAAGGCTGTTGTAATGGCTTTGGCCAACCTTCTTCAGATTCAGCGTCACGATTACCTGATAAAGCTTAAGGCAATTCACATTTTGGTACAGGAGCTCCTGAAAAAGGATGCAGTTGCTAAAGCAAATCAAAGAGGGCTTGCTGTTGCTTTAGACAAACATAGTCTTGGTTTTGACACAAGAGATGCAGTTCTGAACGAAGCTGCTCAAATTCTGTGGTTGCTGCCTATGGAAGAGCTCAGAGAGCTACAGACAAAAATTCATGAAGCCATAGTAGCTGTTCAGGCAATTATTGCTGATCCAAAGACAGACCACAGGCTGGGGAAAGTTGGAAGACAAATATTTTATGATTTCAGCTTCTCACCTACTTAGTGCAACTGGGAACCATGTATGCTCTGGCATGTGTTTGGAAATCAAATGTCACATTTTCGAGGGAAGGATCCTAGAAAATTGACTATGTTTCTAGGTATTTACTATCGTTGCTTTCTCTTTAATAAAGTTCATGAAAGTGGGAAAAAGTAAAATGTACAAAATAATAAAATATATATATATACATAAAATAACATATACACATAAAATGATGTAATTATACAATGACTGCATCTATAGAAGCTTACCATGAACCAGATGCTGTTCTGAGCCCTTTACACAGATTATCACAATTAATCCTTACAACATGTTATGGATGTCAATAATATTTTGTCCCCATTTATCAGATGCTAGCTATTATAGCTGTTAATGTCGAGATGTGAACTAAGCCAATTTCACTTTCACAGTTGTTGGGTTCTTTTTGGGAGAGACTGGTGACTGATTATGATTCTATTTCTCTGTCCTCACAGATTCACTACCATATGGTATGTTTTAATGAGATTTAAATTGCATCTTGAATTTTGTTACACATGGAGACACTTATCAATGAGAAGATATACACACATATACAAATGTATACCACAGAAGCTCCACATCCTCTTCTGGTAAAACAGGTGAAGTCTCAGTTCTCTTTCTTACAGAACATTGAAATATCCTTTGAATAGTCCTTTTAGTCAGATGCAACAATACTGTAATAGCAGGTTTAGCAAATTTTCTGGTCTCATCAGGGAAGATTTATCTCTAAGGTACAAGGACACAGGATCCAATCTGAGCCCAAAGCTAAGAGCTCCGCTCTAAGGATACAGGGACCTATTTGGATTTTCTGGCAAAGGTGTCTATAGAATCTTTATAAACAATCCACATATCTTGACTACCAGAAATCTCTCCATAGAAAATTACTTCTCATATCATTTAGTAACTAAGGAACATTCAAGTTAAGACCATATAGTCCAGATTTAAGACTTGTAGTACGCCATCCTGGAGAATGCATAACTGATTAAATAGCTTCAAATATTAAGTAATGGCCCTGAAGAACAGATTGCAACTAACATAGACATATATATTGCACAACTTATACTAAAGTGTTTTAAAGCAACACTTTACAATTTGACTTACTAATTATTTTGATTTACAATTATTACTGTGCATATGAATGTACAAAATATAATTATAAACCATCTTAGGTTGTTGTAGCAGGGAAGAGGGAGTGTACCTATAACACATAAAATAATAGAATAAATCATTTCTGCACAGTTTATGGGACTTATAAATCCCTGCTAAAAGTCCTTTATTACAACTCTAACTCTGGGAACTTCAGATGAGACACTCCAGGTGGCAACTACAGGTACTTTTAGAGAAAACTCTCCTAAGTTTCAGCCTTACACAAAGCTGTACAATATCTCATATAAGCCAGAATAAGCAGAACAATACATATACCTGATGAGCTATTACAGACAAAGAGATTGGGGCATCTTCACAATGAGTTGAGGCTCCATTACAAAAAAAAAATAGCCACTTCAAAGCAAAGTGATATAAGAGCCAGATGATTAAAGGATAACTTAGAATTAGGACAAATTTTAGATGAAAGAATCTAGATGTTATCGCTTCCTAGCTATTTGCCTTTGCTATATTCCATATGGGTTTCACCAATTCTCTTTTGAGGAAGCATCTTATACCAACTCCCTCATGAGGATCACATATAAAATACATGTTTGCATTGACTGTAGTTGTATAATGTGGATCAGTTATTCTCACAGTCCTTTAAGTGATTTTATTTTATTTTTTAATAATTCTTCTGTTGCTAGAGGAAGCATACTTTATGTAACTTCAGTTATTTATTTTTTTAAAGATTTATTTATTTATTTGAGAGAGAGAGAGCATGAGCAGGTGGAGAGGCAGAGAGAGAGAGAATCTCCAGCAGACTTTATGCTGAGTGCAGAGCCTGACGCAAGGCTGGATTTCACGACCCTGAGATAATGACCTGAGATGAAATCGAGTCAGTTTCCCAACCAAATGAGACACCCAGGCACCCACAGAGTGATTATAAATAGTGTTATGTTAAGCAATTTCTTCTGTGTTTGAAAGATATATATTTAAATTGCCTCTCATTAAAGGCATCAACATTCTAGGGTCTCCAGAGAGGGACAGACAGGCAGGCAGTGTACTCCTTGAGTCCTGTTTTATCAACCTTTTTCCACTCGACTCTTCCTATTACTACATGACTGAGCAAATAATAAGAAAAGTGGCACTCAGCTGGCCAGTCAAAGAGCAGCATTTCAGTCACCTGTGGGGCTTCTCAAAGTTGCACACATCCTCTCTTCTCCCCTCCCCCTTCCAGAGTTTCAGGCTCCTTGTCTCATTCCCAAGGGCTGGAGGCACAGGTGAGATATTATAAAAATCTGAGTTATCTGTGTTAAGTGCTGCAGATCAAATAAGCCTCTAAGCCTTATCTGTCCCCACCCTTACGCAGTGGTGCAAAGCAATGCCATGGTCCTGGATTACTGCTGGACCTCAGTGTCAGTGCCGCAGCGGGGGCCACGGCTGGCATCCTTAGACTCGCTGGGCTCTACGGCTTCATCTTCTACCTGCTTGCCTCCATCCTGCTCTCCCTGTTCTTAATTCTCAAAGTGGGAAGGAGATAGAACAAATATTTTTAATTAAGAAGACCTTTCTTTACAGGAGGTCTCATCAGAGGCCTCTTCACCATTGTCCTGTTCTGGACATTATCTATGGCATGGTGCACATCTACTGAATGGGGGCAGGGGGGTAACTTTTTTTAAAAACCTGATTGAGAGGACTGTCGCCAGAAATTAACATCATGTAAATTTAGTTTTTAAATTGTTGATTTCAATGCTTGTTCTATAACATTATCATTTATATCTGAAGACAAAGAGCCTATAATATTCTTCAGATTAAATGAAGTGTGAGACCAAAAAAAAAAAAAAAAAAAAGAATAATTTAACTCATTTGGTTAAGGAGAAAGCAGTTGGGTTATTTATTTTTCCTTAAAACATTTTTTCCCATTTATGGAGACACGATAATAATGCTGTTAAAGTTATACTGCCCTATTCTATTCTATAGAAAAGCTGTGGTTTTCCAGATTCTTGCACCATTTTATAAAGTTCATGGATGGCCTCTCACTTTATGTTAACTGCAAGTTACCTACTGGCAACACAGTGTGGTGTCATGAGCAGAGGATTTCATGCTAAAGGCTGGGTTTGGAATCCTGCTTCTGCCACTTATTAGCTTGGAGGAGCTATTTGTTTTTTGTTTTTGTTTTTTGCCTTGGTTACCTCATTTGTAAACTGAGGATAGTGATGCTCTCTACCTCATGGGGATGTTCTTAGGATTAAATGAGAAAAATGCATGTAAATTGCTTGCCACAAGTAATTCCTAAGTGTATCTAAAAATACATAAAAAGTAAGAACTTCAGAAAACAAATTATGCTCTTGGCTCTGTACTTGGTGTTGTTAAAGTTACTCCTTCAGTTGGTGTGGTTGCAAAGCACATTTATAACCATACCAAGGAGAATGGCCTTCATTAATAACATTTAGTAGAGAACACCTCTGCTGTCCTTGAATTCTAAGTACAGAAATAACACAAGCTTGTAGAGTCTTCACATCTCATTAGCATTCCTTTTCTCAACATGGTTCTACAATTCATAAAGTGCTCTACTCAGCAAGTCCAGATAATGTGAAGCTTCGCCCATTTCCCATTTCAAATATAATTTGTATTTATGAATACATTTATTTTGGATTTACACTTCATTTTCTCTAAACCAAATCATTTGAAGCCTCTTACAAAGCAGACATTATGCAAAATAGAACTACTAGGAACAAAAGTCTAATAAAAAACATGGAAAGTGATCCAGGACAACAGAGATGCTGCCAGACCCCTTCCCTGGGATAGGGGATGATTACAGTGTTCATCACGGAGAAGCCACTTCACAGGTTCCTGGCAGTTAAAGAAAGTAAAGGGAAAATGTAGTATATTGTTCTAATTGCCTAAAAAATGAACATGATTTAACTAGAATCTTAACAGAAAAGTAGAAAATTGATCAGGTTAGGGTAGGAGTGGGAGTGACTGTCCCCCAGTGAAATTCAATTTTCTCTCCCATACACTGTCTCATCTAAAATTCCAATTCCATAACTTCTTACCATCGTTCAATGGCTTTGGTGATGGGGAATTATAGCAATTGTCTAGTTAGCATGTAGTATGTATCAGAGACTTAGTGCTACCGCACACAGTTGGGCAGGTATACACCTCACAACACTGGGGTCACTATTCATCTTACAGTCACTATAAATTGTTACATATAATTTTTTGTTCTGACAGGTAGCAGGAAGATGTTTTGAGGAAAGGAAACTTTCCTAATTCACACACAAACACATATGCACAAAACATCACAAGGAAATGGTGGCTCTGAACTATGCTTAGATTGTGGAAGATGTTATCCGTATGTCCTATATTATAGCAACCCTCTCTGAAAGGAGAGTACCCTCACTTCACAAAGAAACTGAGGGTTAGAAAGACTGAAATGTGTCCAAGGTTATAGAATTAGTCACTAACAAGCCCAAAAGTAGAACGTAGGTCTATCTGATTCCAAAGTCATACTTTCTTTTCACTTCTTACTAGAAATTCCAAATCTATACAGAATTAATAAAATATTCATCACTTCCATAGCTATCAACATTCTTTCATTCTTCTTTTATTTATATCTTCACCTATTTCTCATTTTCCTAATCAACTCTTTTATAATCACCGTTCTGTACTAATAAGAGGAATATGAAGTGATTATCAGTCACTTATACAGTAGTGAGAGCAAGGTTCATGATTAAATTTAGTTTACCTGCAACACTTAATGAAGGACTGGAGACTTGAGAAATAATCAGCGGGGCGCCTGGGTGGCTCAGTTGGTTGAGCGACTGCCTTCAGCTCAGGTCATGATCCTGGAGTCCCAGGATCGAGCCCCGCATCGGGCTCCCTGCTCAGCAGGGAGTCTG